TAACTCATTGACTGCCAGCCATTTTCAGAACAGAGTCCCATACTGCCAGAGTTTTTTGAGCATTTTGACTGATTTTTCAAGAGCCACAGAATAGTTTGTGCTATGACTATGTAAACACCGAACACACCAAAAGAAAGAGTAGACTCTCTTCTTTCAACAGGAAAAAAAAATTGTTTCTACCTTATTCCGTTCTTCCTGGACTTGCGTCTCACCGGCGCCATTTCTCTCATAGCGAACCGTTAGCTTTTTCTTATTTGCCTACAGTCTATGCTCATCTCCCATCAAAAGTGGCACTGCCCCCTAGAGGGTCAATTTGTTACTACATACTCTGTCTAGAAGCCGATATTTACGGACAAGCTTTAGCAGATCGTCCCCCAGCCACTCTCGTTGAAAAACATAAAAGACGTCTATAGACGTCTTTGGCAGCCAATGAGTTAAAGGTTTCATTGCGTTCAGATGATGGAGGAAAAAAGGCAGATTTACTGAGTTGAGGGTTCTTTGTGCCTTTAAGTCAAAGGGGCTGAATAAACACTGACCCTCATGAGGCGTTTTAAGCTTTCTTGGTTTCTGAGGCTCAGAATAAACACACATAACTAAAAAGCATGCTCCCAAATTAAGTCTCGAATCCCCAAATCCTCCATTTCGATATACAAGTTCTTGCAGCTAGTCCAGTTTTTGTTAACTACAATAACATATATCTTAGGTATTTGACAAAAGCTGACTTCCAATATCCAGAATTAAAGAAGAAGATAAAGGACTGGAACGAAGGGATTGCTCAGTCCCCTTTTTTCTACAGAGAAGGAAATGAATTCAACTATTTTGTTGTATTTTATCCATCAAAAGAGCTGAGATTGTACCTCTGTTTCAAACCTCAAGCAGGCGGCCTTAGCATAATCATCCACATCCAAGGAAGGCTAACTAAAGGGAGGACAAATGTCCACTTTCAAAATGTTCAAAGGAACCAAAAGAGCAGAGCGTAAAACATGATTTCTGAAACAGAGACGGGACTTTAAGGTCCTCTATGCTGCTTAAAGCTGTAAAATCTGAGAAGAAGAAGGAAATGGCTTTTAAAGAATTAAAGAAAGGTGTCACTTAGAACTGGGACAAACCTTTTTTTTGCTCTCTAAAATGCTCAAAGTATCAGAAATTTTGAATGGAGCAACTAAAGTTTTGCATCAAACTGCACAAAGCTGGAAAATACATGAAAATCAGAGCAGAGACGTCTAATGAGACGGGGGTTT